TCCACAGCTTTGAAGTCTCATTCGTGCTTTGAACTTGTATAGGTGTGCAAGAGGTATAGCAACATAGTATTTATACGGACCCAGGGTATATGGCGCGCATGAGGCTTCAAAGCTGTGGTTTTCAAGCTACATTCAAGGTGGCCTGAGACCAGGGTTTGCTGCCCTAAAACACTCTGTTCAGGCCACCTTGAAAATGAAGGTCTGCGAAGCGAGAGCAAAGGAGTTTCCACCTCCTCGCTTCCCAGTCTTCCCAGGGTTCGGTTCATATAGGGGGCCAGGCCATTTTCAGAATCTTCTGGATTTGAGCTGTTCGAGTTCCTATTGAAGGGTATATGTCACATTCAAGCAGCAGAAGGACAACATGCATCCTCTGCTCTCGCTTCGCAGACCGTCATTTTGAAGGTGGCCTGAACAGAGTGTTTTAGGGCAGCAAACCCTGGTCTCAGGCCACCTTGAATTTAGCTTGAAAATTGTTTGTTTGAACAAAAGGGTGCATTGTTTTTGTTTTGACATGGTTACCTATGTGTGGGCAGAACAAGACATGAAGCAGATTTGACACGCGGCCGCAAGCGGCTGCGCGAGCTCATTTGATTGCTTCGACGCGCAGTTGTCGAGAAAGGGAAGCGCTGGCTTTCGTTTTGCAGCTTCTCAGGTAGTAGTAGTAGTAGTAGTGGTAGTAGTAGTAGTAGTAGTAGTAGTAGCAAGAAGTAGAAGTAGTAGTAGTAGTAGTAGCAGTGGTAGTAAGAAGTAGAAGTAGAAGTGGTAGTAGTAGTAGTCGTCCTTGTCGTCGTCGTCGTCGTCGTCATACTATAGTACCGTCGCCTCGAGCCCCTTACTGTCCCAAAACTCGCTTACCGTTGCAGAAAACCCCGTCCATGCGCTACCGTCGCAAAAAGCCCCGGTTACCGTCGCAGGAAACCCCCACAAACGCTTGCCACCTCTCTATCCCTCGCAAAAAACCCTCGCCCCACCGTCGCAAAAACAAAAAACTGCGGACAGTACTGTCACAGAAAACCTTTTCTGCGGTCACCGTCGCAAAAAAACCCTCTCACACCTCACCGTCGCAAAAAAACCCTCTCACACCTCACCGTTGCAAAAAAAACCCAAACTGTCGCAAAAAACCCGCAGCCCGTTCACTGCCCCATTAACCTGTAGAGCAGTCAGTAAACAACTAGCACTATTTTTGAACAAGGCCTTTAGTAACCATCATCATCCACTGATACAGGTAATAGGATAGACCCAACCAATTCCAGTAAGATGAGGTCTTTGACCTGTAGGGATTTACTTCCCCTCCGAAAGAGCCCTGCTATTCTTTTAGTTTGAAGATGTGTGAGCTGAGCCGTAGGTGGTTCCAGGATCCAAACAAAGTATTCAACGTCCTAAACTTCCACACCATGTTTGGCCCAGCTCCCACATCTGGATTTTTCCTCCAAACGGCCCACATCTCTGTGACCTATAACGGATTAGAGCCCAGACCATCTGGGACTGGAGTATATGCCTGCATCGACCCCGGGTTAGCCAACTGAAGCTCAGTCCGACAGGGCAAGGCTGGACTGTCGTGCCATGAAAAGGCACACCTAGTATGGCCCAAAAAGAAAGCGCCAGCGCAAAGCGCGGATGGTTGGGATTGATGGCTCAGACGTCAGAGGCTCAGACGCCAGCTTCTGCAACTTCACGGCCGATGCTTCATGTTGGGCGGAATGGGGGAGGGGATCCGTGCGGCTTGGGGGAGGTGATAGGACGGTCTACCAGTGACAGGGGTACACAGAGGCTAAGAGCCATTTGCACATCCGCGCAGAGCGTGAGGATGTTCGCAGGAAAGCACAGCGGGATGTGTCAGCAAGTCCGAAAATGTTTGGAACATGCTTGCAGTTGGCCACATCCACATATATTGTAAGACCCTCAAAACCCACCCCAACCTCCTTCTCAGGAGGTAGTTGGAACCCTAGGGATTGACATTTTTTGACGGTTCCATTGGCAGTAGCTTTGCCGGGGTCGATGATTGGATAGCAGCCGTTCAAAAACCAAGAAGCACCAGACATACCTTTCCCAGGACAAGAAGGGCCACTGATGTCATACACATGTCAGAATTCGAATAGGACCGGAGGGCCAGCAGAGTACATATCAGAACAGATGCCCGAACCATCCCGAACCCATTGCAGAACAATTTGTCAGGCTTGGTGCCAGAGCATTCATATGTGAGAGATCAGAACAGGTGCCAAAGCACATGTCGGACGCCACACATTGCCACACTTGACGCAAGAACACATGTCAGGTTATTTGTACTGTAATACTTATCAATGCAAGCACCTCCTTCTTCCAAGTCATGTTTTAGGGTGGGGATCTCTCAAAGTAGTACTTCTCGGATTGGAGGTTTCGTGCCCTTAGTGCATGCGGAAGACGGCTCGGTATCTCGCCAGGAAGATGCGCTCTGTGTTTGCTCTTTGAGCATCCGAACCCAAGGTCCATGTTGGAAAACAGTTTTGTCAGACCCTAGGGCTCCTGGCCGCCCCCTCCTGAGGTTCGGTGGTTGGGGTGGGTGGCAGGGAAGTCTAACCACCGAACCTGAGGATATGGGACGTTCGGAGCCCAAACGGGAGAGGACCATGATTATCAAAGGACCATAGAGGCAGCGACAGACAGATATCGTTATCACATCCGTAGGAAGCCACAGATTGTTTTTTCTTGTCTTTCGTGTCTTGGGTGAATTGATTGGGTGACTGAACTTCGGTCCAACTAACCTTTCGAACTTCGTGTTTGGAGGTGGAGGGACACCCCACAAAGACTCAGAGTTTGGTGGACTCCACCTGGCAGTCCGGTTCCAATCGATGGATGGTCTGGTGATGGTTTGGAATTCCATGCCCTGGGTTTGGTCCAGTCTGATCCAGGTCCAAACCCGATGATTTACCTCATTGACGGTGTTTTTGTACGATCAACTCCAGTCAAATGAGGTCTAACTGACCTGTACGGATGGGCCCCAATGTGTCCAGAGAATGTTGGTGAAGCATGGTGAAGCAAGGCTGCAGCAGCCTTGGAGGCAGCCTTGGAGGCATCCAACGCTGCCCACCAGAGAGGCAGCGCTGGGGCGTGAATGAGGTCCGGTGGACAGTCCACAGCAAATTGGAATGGGTGTTTTCTATTTTCATACAGGACCCCCTGGCCCTGGGCTGGGTCGACTGTTCGATTTTCCTTCTTCCGGCTTCCTGACTAGGAGGTCTCCCTATTGTAATACACACGGCGGCAATCGCAGCGCGACGTCTCTTGATTTGGGCTCGCCAAACCGTCTTGCAGTTGGCACGTGAACATCTGCAGGAAAACCCATCGAAAACTGTTTTGGAACATTTGCTTTCACCAATGGGTTGGCTAGATTCTTTTAAAGAAAACAAATCGATGCAGCTAGATTGGAGGCCATCGCTTCTAGGTCGGAATTCCTTGCTTCTAAGTTGGAGGCCATGGCTTCTAGGTTTGTGGTCATCGCTTCTAGGTTGGAGGCCATCTTTTCTAGGTTGGAGGCCATCG